TTCTTCTTCTTCTTCTTCTTCTTCTTCTTCTTCTTTTTCTTCTTCTTCTCCTCCTCCTCCTCGAAGTTCCTGATGAGGCGGGTTAGATGGCAACGCCTCTAGATGTTTGGGACATACACACATCCTTGCATCCTCACAGTCACTCAAAACACGAGCATCATCTCCCGTGGGAACTGAACTCATGTCTACTGCGTGCAAGGGCAAGAGTCTAACCCCTCCACCACAGTCGCTGGCTGGCAAGTGGAGAGCTATAAGTGTGAGCCATTAAGCCGGGGGTCGTCGAGTTCAGGGAGGAAATCAATCAATAACATAGGTGGGCGAAAACATCAGTTGATGTGGCGGTGACGGTGGCTGTGTTGTGGGCAACCTACAACTAACTACACAGCACGACCTGCGCTTGGCTCTTACAGCTACCGCCTGTACAAGACTCACACCTGTACGACGCGGCCACCTGTACAACACAAGACGACAACCTGTACAAGATGATCATAATATATACAGTCTACCACCCCCAACGCTTCCCTTGATTTTTTTTCTGTTTGGAGACACGAAGAACACGATTACTTGTCTAACGTGAGGTACAAGACCCCGACCGGAGGTGGCAGTAACTTTACGTATGTCGACGGGTTCATTACAATGATCTGTTTCTTTAGAGGGAGGCGGGAGGGAGTAGGAGGGGGAGAAAGGGTGTACAGAGATGATTGGAGGGAGGGAGGGTGAGGGAGGGGGGGAGGAGGTCTACCCGTCGGCGGATGACAGATTTTCGTGATCGTCTTGGGCAGGATTTGTGACTGTTGGTTGATACAGTAATATAGCGAATTGGACCCTATCTGTCAGGGTAAACCTGGACTGAGAAGGACGCAACGTCCCAGAAGACGGGCCGAGATACTTGATAAATATTCTCCTCACACTGGAATCGAAGTCAGGTCTCCTGCGTGCAACGGCGAAACGTTTAAGTTAACCACAATACCACACCACCACAGAGTCCGGTTTGACGCGTGACCCCTGGAGAGGTGAGCACAATTAGAGACACAGGTGTTGCCCCGAGGTTACTGCTGTTTGACCGAGAGCTGTGATATGTATCTAACTCTGACGATACTTTTAGCAATGACCCTCCCTTTCTTTTTCCTCCAACTTTTAGTCATTCATTCACAAACAACGCCAGTTTCTCCATCAGTCGTTCCCGCCCCTCGACTGGTTCCCTGGCATATATCTATATGGGAAACGTACACAGAAGACAGGTTCTGATATGCACAACTGAATCTGTCTGTGTTATTCCTTTTTGTGAAGCGTCTTTTCTGCGTTTCTTTTCTTCCCTTTTACTGTCTTCCTCTCCTATCTGCCCTCTAACTTGTACCACAGGTTCACGTTTTTAGTTCTATCTTTGGCAGTGATCACTATGATATCGGGCAGTGACCATGACGCAATTACACTTATTGTATCTGGCAGTGACCACTATTATATATAGCAGTGACCATTATGATATCTGATATAGACCACTACGGATCTATCTGGCAATGACCACTATGGTATCTAGCAATGACAACTATGATATCTTACAGTGACAATTATGATATCTTACAGTGACCACTACGATATCTGGCAATGACCACTATGATATTTTACAGTGACCACTATGATATCTGGCAATGACCACTATGATATCAGGCAGTGACCACTATGGTATCTGGCAAGGACAACTATGATATCTGACAGTGACCACTTTGGTATTTAGCAGTGAACACTGTGGTGTTTGGCAGTGACCATTATGGTATTTGGCAGTGACCACTATGGTATCTAGCAGTGACCACTAGGTTGTCTGAAGGTGACCGCAACTGTATCTGACAGTGACCACTATGATATCTTGCTACACATGTGTAGGAGGGGCGCACCCTCAGCTCAGTCGATATCATGCGGGACTGTTGAGTGGAAGGCCTTGGTTCGAGTCTCCAACAAGGCGTTCTGAACCTGATTTCTTAAAGCTTTCCTCCTACCTATTTGAATTTGTCTCGGTCCTATCGGAAATAGATGTTTTATTCGGAGATTTTAAGCCTCTTAAACAATTAACCTATACCGTGTTGTAAGAGGCGCTGACGTAAGGTGTGTACAGTGTCGGTTTGTCAATCCACAGGACTGCGCTCAACTCTCGCGACAAGACCGGCTTCGGTGGTGGAGCGGTTGGGTGTTTCGCTGTCGCAGGCAGGGTATCCGAGTTCGATTCCCTAATGGGGAGGAATATTTTTCGGGTATCTCAGTCTTTCTGCAGGGATGTTTTTTCCTTTTCAGCCTGGGTTGGCCGTGGCAATTGGGATCGGTAGCCCACATCCTTAATGATCTTAAGTGGGCCGATAAAGGCGTAAAACGCCTGCATTTAAAAAAAATCACACAATAACGGAAGCAAAGCGGAAAAAGATCCCTATACAAAAACATTAATTCCTTACCTGATTGTTGGGCAGATTGCTTTGTCTCACTTCTCGTCACGCCGAGATCAGAAACACAACACACTCCCCTCCCTCCCTCTCCCTCCCCTCACGCACACACGCGACTGCCACATCCCATCATGTGCATCCTCATCACACGGATGATGACGAGCTGGCAAAAAGTACCATTGACGATACCTGACGATGTCTCTCTTTGGTACTTTTTACCGTGTCAAGACGGCCATCCTTCTATCCGTGAGGTGTCGTGATTTGCTGCAGCAGTTTTGGTTATCGCACAACCCCGTATCAGTCACAGCCAACCCTCCACCGCGGAAACTGCACAACCATACAGTGTATAGTGGTGATAACAAAAGGACAAAGCGAGACTGAGATTGTCACGTGCTGGGGTAAGGGGTCATGGGTCATGGGTCACGACACATACATTGACTCTTACAGCGCACACTGGACTCATTTATTATTATTTATATTGTTTTATAATTTTAATGATAGGCCCGATATGTAGAGCAACGGTTGTGTTGCGTCACATTTGGTACAGTCAAATACAAAACAAAAACACTAGTAGGTATATTATCTAGTATTGCTTCTGCTGCCTGCCTGTTAAAGTTTAAGATAAAGAAAGCAAAAATGAACAATGAAGTTTCGTCCCATAACACAGTGTCTTAATGTTGTCGGGTGACCCGAACGTTCGTTGTCATTGGGCTAACGTGTGTGTGTGTGT